TCCTGTGTCGAACGTTCGGCGTGTCGCAGGTGTGTGCAGCAGACCCATCAAGAACTCAAGGATGAGTTTGTGATGAAGAGCCCGAGCCTTGGTGTCAAGCCTCAAGTGATTTCGAAGCTTGCCAAAAGGGTACACCTCAAGATATTGAAGATAGTTACATTACTTTGTGTAGTGTAACATTTCACTTGGTGTAGGCCCTAGTGAAGGGTAGTTTCGAGACCCTTCGTGGTTGGGGACAGTGTGGCACTGTTCCACATCACTGTACCTCGGCTCTTGGGGTTTGTAGGAGCTGGGAGTCATTCCCAACTCGTAACTCTTCCTATCTTGTGTTCTAAGACTATAGTGGCTGCCATAGTACCGTTCGTTCAAACCGACGCTGTGTCGTCAATTCTTTATCAAATCGTGCAATCTAAATTGCTAATTGTAGACGACGTGAAGACGCTCCAGATCCAATTTGAATCAAGTCATTTGCAGCTGTGAGGAGAACGCTATCAACGTTTGAAGCCGCTGTGCAGAAATCCGTCTGTGCTCTCTATCTTTCGTTTTAGGCACATTCAAGCCTATTGTGACTATAACACTACACACACCTTCCAGCTGCACGAGAACCCGAACGAAGACTACCCGACCCTCGGCTCCCACGACGCCTGCGTCAATCTCTGCACCACCTTCGCCGAGACGCTCGTGCGAAACCTCAGCACACGGTTCAAGGACCTGGACTCCCTGGTGGGAGTGCGGCTGTTCATGCCTGACGAGTGGGAGCCGGGGAGAGCAGAGCGCCACAGGCAGTGTCTCGAGTGGCTCGAGTCTCTCGTGACGCTGTTCAGGGCACAGGACACGGACTACATCATTCCAGGTATTCCCGCTCTCGCACTGTTGATGTCCGTGATGATGGTTATTGCATGTTATCACTGTATGGTGTACGACTATGCCAGCCTTTCTAATTCCCCGTCTCTCTCCCTTCCGCCTTATGTGGCAGGGGTCGACAAGCGGCGTGCGATCAAGGAGCTGCGTGCCTTCTGCCCCATCCTTGCAGGTGCCCCGAAGAACGAGCGCAGCTTCCACGCCGGCCTAACAGCAATGCTGAAGACAAGCGATTGGGCGACTAGCTACCCCAATCTCGTGCGTCTCTGGGTGGCTGTCGCCGTGCTGCCGCTGAGCACAGTGGAGTGTGAGCGCGGCTTCTCACGGCAGAACATTATCAAATCGTGGCAGCGGGGGAGCTTGAAGGACGCCCGCCTCGAAGACCTCGTCACTATGTCTCTACGAGTACGAGCCCAACTACGATGAGGTGGTGCAGATCTGGCGCAGCTACAAGAAGCGCCGCCCATTCGGCAATGTGGCGGCACCACCAGCAAGAGAGGGGGAGGGCAGTGGTAGCAAGGGAAAGGAGGCCCTAGAGGAGGAGGAGTTGGAAGAACGACAGGCTGAGGGAAGAGATGAATATGATGACAAGCAAGCCTCATCTGATGATGATTACTGAATTCTCCCAGCCCAGACACTTGAGTCATGCTTGATGCCACCTTGCATAGCTAGCTAGCTAGCTAGATAGCAAGATAGGCTTTGGTAACTGGTTTACAACACAGATAGATAGATTGAAGGCTGATTGCTTGCATCCTAGTGTTTTTAACTTACCGTATCGCCCCGGATATAGGCGCCGTCCGATTATAGGCGCTGGCGCCTCTATCTGGAGCATGGCGCTTATGGCCGGACCTCGATTACAAGCGCCCCCCCTGAGATTTCTGTACTTATTATAAGCGCCACCCTTGAATTATCATAAGTCTTTTAAGAAACAATTACATTGAAATCACTTACATGACACTTCTAGACAGTAGCTACAACATCAGTGACCCGAATCAGCAAGTCTAGCAACATCACTTCTACCTAACAAGTCTACTCATCGTCAGATTCAGGCTCCTCGCAGTTGTTCCCAAAAAACCCATCAGCTATGATGTCATCGTCGACATCCACTTCCGCTGTCAGCTGGCTCCGCCTGTACGCCATGGCGAGGCCGTCCTCACTGCCGTCGAGCGCGTTGCTGATGCCACAGGTGAGGAAGGATCGTTTTATCAGCTCGGCCGGCACTGACTTCCAGGCCTGAGATATCCACCTCAGGACGACCTCCGCAGGCGGCTTCTTCAGATTCCCTGAAACAAAAACGGGAGAACGGTGGAAACCCGTTAGTCAAACAACAAAAGATACCGTAGACAAGGGGAGGGGGGGGGTAAACACAACCGTGCTCATTCCATACCTGCTGCCGTCAGCTGCTCTTGACCTTCTGCCTCAAACCACCTCTGGTACTGCTGGCGGACCGACGCTTTAAAACTCTTGTTGATGGAGACATCTAGCGGCTGTACCTCCGCCGTACAGCCCGACGGGATGATTGCCGGCACGCAGTTCATCTCGCGGAGCTTGTCCTTCACTTCCTGGGTGAGGTGACCGCGGTAAGAGTCCAGCACCAGCATCGAGCTCTTGGCTTGTCTGCCGAACTTGGGCTTCAAGAAAGGCTTGACGCCCTCCTCAAGCCAGCGAACGACGCCCGCGGCGTCCATCCACCCGTTCTCTTGTGCAGCCACAACCACATCTGCAGGGATCATTTTCGACCAGTTAGAATTCGCAGTCGGAAGCATGGCGTAGTTAACGAGCAGTGCACCTACCGTATTGACTTACCGGGAGGGAAATTGCCCTTAGGCACGGTCTTGCGCTTGAAGTACACCCACGGCTTCAGCTTCAATCCGTCCGCCGTGCACGCCAACATCACGGTCACACGCTGCTTCTGATAGCCCGTGCTCCTGATAGGCACCGAGCGAACACCCGTTTCATCTACGGTGGTGGTGGCAGGCATCTCCAGCCAGAGCGGTGTCTGGTCCGCGTTGATGATCCACGCGGTGTCGATGTCGCGCTCACGACGCTTGGCACGCACGAACTTCCAGAAGCTCTGGCACTGCTCGGCGACATCTGAAGGGCGGTGGAAGGGCGGACGGACACACATGGTGGGTGTTAGTACAACAATTTAAAAATCACAGGGCAACGTACACGGGGTAACTCTTACGCGCGGCGGTTTTCTGGGCAACCCGGGTCTTCATGCGGACGCTCAGATTCCATCGACGCCGAAAGCGCTGCGACCACCTCTGGCTTCCTTTCCACGGCTTGTCCGGGTACAGCAGCCTCATGTACTCCCGCGACCACTCCTGCAGGCGGCCGACTGATACGGCGGTTCCCTTGCGGCGCCACTCGAGAAGTTTCTCGTACACCTTCAACTCCATAGGCCGGTACCACGACGCTCGCCCGCGGCCGTGCATGCGCTTCCGAGCGGAATGAACTTCCTTGAGGAATTCAGACGCCCGCTTCCAGTTGGTGAGGCACTTCGGGTGGATTCCGCTCTCGCGAGACAATTGGCGCACCGACACCGCCAAAGCAAGCTTGGCAACCCACTTCAACTTCTCCGCGGCGGTGTAACCATTCCTCTTGTGGTCGGTGAGCTTGTGCCTGGGAGAGGGGGGGCGGGCATCACGGTTCTGGGTAGAGGGGTGGGGTCGCTTGCGATTGATCGGGGGATAGGAAGGTATCGGCAAGGTCTCGGGAAGCCCGTCGCGAGACCAGTACTCCACGCCGTCGTCGGCATCGTCGCCTGGAACGCCTTCTGGAAAAACATCTTCAGCGGAGCCGCCCTCGGCGCCGCCCCCGGCGCTCGCCTCCGTGCCACCCTCGGCGGCGTAAGCGCCGCTCGCTTCCTCAGCGTCAGCGTCAGCTTCCTCAGCAACATCATCGTCGGCGCCGACTGCAGATTCGTCCCACGGGCAATCGTCAGGCTGTCCCCACCGTGAACCAGGCACGTACTCCACTTCGACCTCCTCATCTTGCGCCTTGTCAGACTCTGGTTCGGAGATCCATTCGTCAAACGCTGATGGGAGCAGCAGCGTGAGCACGGGCTCAGCTCCAGCGTGTAGCGGAGGCACAGGACGCTGAGTAGACAAGGGAACAGGAGGAAGAGGAGGCTCAGGAGGTGCATGAGGCGAAGGAGGAGCAGGAGGCGCAGGAGGCGCAGGAGGCTGTGGTGGCTCTGGTGGTGATGGTGGGACACGGGAGTACCACCCGTCTGCGTCTACTCTAAACGCGGGCTTGCGCGTAGGCTTTTTCTTGAACAAGAAGTGCGTGCCGCTGAATTCCGCCATGGCTTCCGCAGCATGGCGAGAGTGGCCAAGAACCAAGAACGGGAAACTGAAAGAAAGGATGCCCAAATGAAGGATTCAAAGGGACCCCTTCTGGCTAGCGCCACGGGGTCCTCGTCGTGGAGAGACGGGTGTCCCCTGTCTGAACCCGGAGAGGAGGGTATCGCGCCACGCACGATGCTGCGCTGGCAGGGCATTCCAGCCGCTTCTAGATGGTTCGGGTGAAATGCAGCTGCCACCCAGCGCATGAACGCCTGATTGGGCCGCAAGGCATCTTTCACGTCAGCGCTGGCAGGTGCGCTGCTCCTGGACGGGCTTTGTGCGGCTGGAAACCGAAGCGCGGCAGTTTTCGGCGGGTTTTCATGCATGATGCCACGCGCACGTTACACAATCTTGTTCGCCTTATTACGGGCTTCGATTTGATACAAAAAAAATACAAATTTCATTTTTGCCATGATATAAGCGCCGGCGCTTATGGCCGTTATTCAATTACAAGCGCCACCCTTAAAAAATCATGTTTTATTATAAGCGCCGTGGCGCTTATATCCGGGGTTAGACGGTAAAATAAACACTATTACTACTATCAGCCTTTTTCTGTAGGGGACACTGATGCATCAGACTTTTTTTAACAGTAACACTGAACTTTCAGGCTTTTTTTCTAGGCGACCCTGACAATCAGGGTCTAGGGGCAGAGGGACCCTGATACCCTTACGTGCCTAAAAGTGAATCTGAGGGCCTGGGTGCGATACAGCTGCAACTTCTGGAACATCCAAATATATTTCTCGCATTAGTCCAACAAAAATAGCCAAGCCATGCAATGCAATTTTACCATTAATAAAGGTCTATTTTCAACCCGTACATATCTTCGAGCCCACGAGGCTCCAGAACTTCGTTCCACCCAGGGCACACATTCTTGCAACTTCCAATATTCAATAATCGCAGCATCTTCAGCTCCGTGAGATCCTCTGGCAGACCCGCCAACTGCAAACAACCACGCACACTAAGACTGCGCAGCCTGGTCAGTTGCGCAAACCCGGAAGGAAGGCAGCGCAGGCCGGTGTTCTCCACATGCAGTTGGTGCAGGCATGCAAGCTGGGTGAGGGAAGCGGGCAGGTGGTGCAGAGCGGGGCAGTCAAAGAGGTGCAGCTGGCGCAGGCGGGATGCAGCGCCAATGCTGTCCGGCAGCTCCCTCAATTCCCGCGCACAGTGGATCTGCAGAACCCTCAGCTGCGGCACAGCCCATCCCATGTCGCTTGGAAGCCGCAGCATCTTCCCCGCGTTCCACATGACCAGCGTGTGCAGCTGGGGGAGCAGCGCAAGGGAGAAGGGCAGCTCCACAGCCTCCTCCTGCAGCGCCAGCTCCAGCTGCTTCACGCGCGCCAAGCTGCTGCCAACAGCCATTCTCTCCTCCCCACCAACCAGCTTTAAGCAAAGCTTTCTCAGCCAAGGCAGCACGGAGACGTCTGGCAGATCAGCCACGTGGTAGCTGTTTCCAAGACTCAAGACCTCAAGAGAGAGCGGCAGAGACGTAGGAGGCTGAGTCTGATCATAACAGCCAGTCAGTTCCAGCCATTTGAGCCTCCCAAGGCTGTCTAGCCTCCTGGGAATTGAGACGAGCTTCAAACAATCATCAACCGTAAGGGTTTCAAGGCTTGAGAGGCTTGTGAGGGACTCTGGAAGCCGCTGAATCCGAGGGCAGGAGCGAATGTGCAACTCCTGCAGGTTAGTGAGGTTCCCCAAGTCCTCGGGCAGCTCATGAATCGTGCACATGGCCAGTTCAAGCCTGGTCAATGAAGTCAACTGGGTGAAGGAGAGTGGCAGTCGCGGCTGCTGGTTCTGACCATTCAAATACAGCGTGTGCAGCCTTGGAAGCTCTCCAATGTTCTCCGGAAGCCTCACCCGAGGCATCCTCACAATGGCGAGGGTTTGGAGAGACGTGAGGCAGCAGAAAGTTTCGGGCAGCTGGAGGACCTGCGGGCTGGTGATGCATTCGACGAGGACGAATGTCTCAAGGGAGGGCAGAAGGCAGAGGGAGTCCGGGAGGGCCACGAGAGGCAGATTGTGCAGCACGAGGGTCTTCAGGGCATGCAAGCAGCCGATGTCGTCTGGCAGGTCGTAATAACCCAAAAATTGGTCTCTTTGGTAACACTCAGTAAGTGTCAAGCTCTCCAAGAGAGTTAGAGAAGCGAAGCTTAGATAAATTGGCCTAGGGTCATAATGCCGCAGACTCTGGCGAATTGTCAGCTTGCGGAGACTCGGCATCAGATCTCCGATTTGAAAGGTCGGAGTGTCGGAATCAGGACGCTCCATTTCAATCTCGAGCCGTTCTAGGGCGGCACACGGGACCACCTGCCTGAACCTTGACGACTTAAGCAGAGCCAGCTGCGTGGTGTCGAAGTAGGCAAACACCAGGGAAGACGGCTTGAGCAGAGGCAGCTGTGCCATGTCGACGTCTGCAGAGACCAGGGAATCGCGGTGAAATGCTACGGCTTCATCTGAGCTTGAGAAGGTGGTGATGCGTGAGAGGCGAACGATGTTTTCCACTCGTTTTAAGAGATATCTGGAGGCAAGGTGCAGGCTGGTGAGCGACGTAAGCTTAGCAAATTTGGGAGTTTCGAGCGGTGAAGCATTTGTGAGCGCGAGAGTGTGCAGATGCGGCAGCTGAAAGAAGGAAGCGGGGAATTTGGCACAACGGTCGAGGCAGTAAAGTGAAAGCTGCTCTAGCCGAGTGCAGTGCCGGAAAAAGAAATCCAGGCCAGCGGTTGTTATAGGTAGCGCGTCCTTCTCGCATTTACCGGCATAATGATCTTTACACTTCACAGGCGCAATTCTGCTTCCGACGTGGAGGATGGCGAGGTTGGGACATGACGACGCGAGGTGAGCGAGGAAGGCGTCGTCGAGAGTCTCCACGCTGCCGTCGCACAGGTGAAGATGGGTCAGGTTCGGTAAGGCAGCGACCGCACTCGCGAGAGCCTGGCGAGACACGACGAGATTCTCTCGGACGAGAAGCGCGGAGACGCAACGCTGAGTGAGACCGCGCCAGCGACGGCAGACGGCCGCGAAGAGCAGAATACGGTGAGCGTCCGCATAGAGAGGAGGAATGGGTAACGGAGTCTTCTTCTCCTCACGAATGGTCTTCTCGAATGAAAGGTTTGCAGAGAGGTACTTCGGGGTGGGAATCGAGGGGTTGGAGCCCCACAAGCAGTCGCTGTCCGTTTGTCTAGTAATCGGGTGCTCAGAGTGCCAAAAGATCTTAGTAAGAATGTCGTCAGGAAGGTCATGGATGTGCGTGGGTGGATCCATGATGGTCAAGGTGGGAGACTGATCACTGCGAATAAGCTACGTTGAAACTAGAATTATACGGCAGACAAGATAGCAGGATAGTCGATGAGCCTCACAGTTCTGTACTAATCTTTACTGCTGTATGAGCAGACACGAGAAAGGTCTACCAGCAATGGCTGACTGCATCACTGACTTTCCTAGCGGGCGGCATGAGCCGTGGATAGCACTGAAGGGAAAAGGGGAACGGAATGGGATGGGATGGGACGAGATCACTCTACAGAGAGAACCACTGGCGTGGAGATCACGGCGTTCGCCGAACCAGGCGGAGCAGGCTCACCCAACTGCCGAACAAATTCGGCCCAGGTTCGGACGAACCCAACTGAGCATCAGGCTCGTGCTAAATTCGTAGTCAGTTGAGTCGGCCCCAAATATTATAGTTCTCGCTATACTCCTCAACGCTTAGGTCCAAGCCCTATGTTGTTGTGATAACCTTAGGATCTTAGGATTAGAATAAGGATTTCTACACCTAACCTCCGCCAATTTCACTACCTGACACTCTGTTATTGAAACACCCTTACCTTCGTCAGATTGGTCAATCATGTGACTATTCGTGTGATGCTATAGTAGAAGTACCTGTTTATATGCGTAAGGAGAACGCATTGCAATATGAAATGCATGCTCCAAGGTCAGGGTTTCGGGGTTTATATAACAAATTAAACAATGGCTCAGAAAAGTAATACGAGTTTGTTTCAACCAGTCCTCTCCCCACCCCACACCACCCCCCCCCCCCCCCCCCCCCCCCCTTCCTCCCCCCCCCTCTCCTCCCCTCCCCTCCCCTCCCCCCCTCCCCTCTCACACCCCTCCCCCTCCCCTCCCCTCCCCTCACCCCTTCTTCCCCCCCTTGGAAAATGAACCTGCTATTCCTTTTCCACGTCTGTGCCATTCTCCCCATTTGCCGGAGGCAGCAGCTCTGCTCTGGGCTCAGGGGCAGGGACCGTCTTAATCACCCTACACGGGTTTCCCACCGCCACACAGCAGTCCGGAATATCCTTGGTGACCACACTTCCAGCACCAATAGTCGTGTGCGACCCTATGCTAACTCCAGGGCATACAATCACCCCCCCGCCGAGCCACACATTGGAGCCTATGGTGATGGCGTGCGCGGTTTCAACTCCCGTGAGGCGCGTTGTGGGGTGCGTGGGGTGCGCTGCAGTGTAGAGCTGCACGTAGGGGCCGAAGAGGACGTCGTCACCGATGGTGATGCGGTTGCAGTCCAGCAGCACGCACCCAAAGTTCATGTACACATTACGGCCTGCCAGTGGTGGGAGGTGTGGGTGGATGGAGGGCGGTCGAAGGGTGCACAGGTAAGACGGAGGGATTTGGAAATGGAGGGACAAGGGAAGGAGGGGAGGGTAAAGGGAAGGAGGAGAGGCGGAAGGGAAGGAGGGGAGGGGGAAGGGAAGGAGGGGAGGTGGGACAGGAAAGGTAGCCTATTTGAGGGATTGCATGAAGTATTGGACGGAAGTGGAGGATGGGATTCGTTGATTGACTACAAGAGGACGGTGGGAATGCGCACAAAATGATGCGCGTTATGCATGGGGGCATGTGAGAGCGCCCCCATGCGCGAAACAAAGAGACATGGGCCGCCGTCACTGACCCACGGTGATGTGGCAGCCATAGTCGCAGAGGAAGGGCGACGTAATGAAGAGGTTTTCGCCCGCCTCGCCCAGCAGCTCGTACGACATCTTTCGTCGCTTCTCCACCTCGCCCGCCGGCGTCGCGTTCAGCGCCGACGTTCGCTGCGTCGCGAGCTGTCGCAGCTCCACTAGCGGCGGGTCCCTGCAGTGCCAGGGCACAGAACAAACTTGCCACCTTCAATCGGTCCAGTTCGCGCACACTTGGAGCAATGCAAGCGACGTGGTGCGAGACCCACCATGAGTTGTACGGCTCTCCCGATAACATCTTCTCCATCTCCGTCTTTCCTCGCGTCGCCTCATCGCCCATCACAAGGATGATGCGCCGGAGTGTGAAACGGCCTGTGTAATCGCCTAATATCGGATGGAGGAAGTAAGGTCGCGAATGTCACCGGTCGCTGAGTAGTAGTGAGGGGCTCAGAGTGACGGATGCAGATTCGGGATGCAAAATGCTAGGATGTTGAGGCGAATGCAGGAATGACATGGATAGAAGAAATCCATGCATGTGTACACATCTCGAAGTGGTGGGATTTTCAACCTTGATCGAAAGTTTCCCTGAATGGTAGGAAACATCTGATCGTGTGCATCGGGGATGCTGATTGATCCAAAAACTGAACACAACAGTCTCACGGCTGGGAACACGAGTTAACCTTGATTCGCCTCCCGCCATTTTCAAGGGATTGGATTAGCCTAGCGAAGTTTCACGAGCAGCAATGCCCACAAACAGGTTGCCTTCCTTGATGGCCAGTGCGTGCAGGTAACCTCGCAGCATTCGCTAGTGGGCTTGCATCGCCGTCCATTCGCAATTATGGTTACGTGGAAGAATCTGGCGGGAATGGTTCGAGAGAACAATTAGCGTTTGAGTGCGGTGCTACTTACAAGCCCTAGGGTTTCTTGTTGAGTGGGCTGGTGCCTCCCTTGTCTCGTCTCATTCCCTTGCAACAGTAAGTCAGGTTACTGAATGAGTAGCAGATTGAGCGGGGTGAGCAGCCATTAATCTCACCGCGGGGTGGGCGCGGTTCTCCTTCTTTCACAATGTCTGTCGGATCGCCGATCCAGCGGCTACCGGAGGAGCTGCTTTCTCGGATCTTTTATTTTCTGGTTCGACCTGATAGGCAGTTCGAGCACGCACTTGTGTGCAAGAAATGGCTTCGCGTCGCGTACCGCACGCAGTACGAGCTCCACTTGCCCATGTGCCTCCGTATGGATCTGGGTCGATTCGTTCAACTTCTGTCCTCGTTCCCTAACCTCAAAAAGCTATCCCTTAAATCTGACAGCCTCACCTCCACCTCTCATTATTTATTCTCTCACCTCGCTAGCACGTGTCACCATTTGACCCAGCTTCGTGTCGAATCGATGTCACGCATTTATAATCGCGGAGACGTAACTAAGAAGAGCCTTGCTGTGCTGTTTGAAGGGTGTACGCGGCTGGAAGATCTCGATGTTAATTGCTCGCCGGATGCTGCCATTCCCACGTCGATCGACCGACTCACGCTGCTCAAGCGCCTGCGCCTCGTAGCAAGCGTCACGCGTCTTCCCGACACACTGACCTCGTTGCAGTCTCTCAGAACCCTCGTGCTGGACACCTGCAATCTTGATGCTTTGCCCACAGATTTCGGCAATCTGGTTTCTTTAACGTCGCTGGAGCTTCACCAGAGCCGCTTGGCGTCACTTCCGGAATCTTTCGGGCAGCTTACCGCTCTGAACCGGTTTTCCTTGAGGAACTGCTCGACGTTGCAGCTGCCGGCCTGTTTCACCAAGATTTCGTCTCTCGCCGACCTGGATTTTCGAAACTGCAAGATTCTTCTACCGCCGCAGGTCGGTCTTGGTCAACTGGGGGTACTCGAGACCCTCGTATTGGTTGAAGTGAGCGGAATGCGCGACTTGGTTGCGGATGTGGAGCATTTGCAGCGGCTGAAGACTCTAACCATCCAGCGCTGCAGGGATATCACGTCTCTTCCCGTGTCTCTTCCCCGCCTGCCTGCGCTGACCGAACTCAACCTTGAGATGGGACAACTTTCAGCGCTGCCCGAAGATTTCGGGCAGTTGTCAGTGCTCCGGTCACTCGTGCTGGACATGATGAGCCTCACAGCCTTACCCGATTCCATCGCCCTGATTACCACTCTTCAAAAGCTTTCTCTGAATAATTTTTGGCATCTGACGATTCTGCCCCAGGAGTTCGGCCAGCTGGTTTCTTTGGAAAAGTTGACCCTGAGAGGCCTTCAAGAGCTCACACAGCTGCCTGAAACATTTGGGCAGTTGACAGCTCTCCGGGAGCTAACACTACTGGACTGTAAGCAGCTGAAGCAGCTCCCGGACGCCCTATCCCAGCTGTCGTCACTCGAAGACCTCCATGTCTACTCTTGCCCGCTCCTCACGGGGCTGCCGGTCGAGATGGGAAAGGGCATGCATTCCTTGCGCCATGTACATCTATCGGACACGGCACTCACCCGCCTCCCTCCATCCTTCTCCGAGCTCACGTCTCTCGAAACGCTCACGATTCGAAACGCGAAGCACTTTAGAGGAGCGCTGCTAGACGGCTTTGGGTGCTTGAAGAGCCTCAAGGAGCTGTCGCTCGACACCCTGCCACGCCTGTCCGCCCTTCCTGCTTCCTTCTCCGGCGTTGAATCCCTCACACGCCTGGAAGTCGGCAATTGCCCTAATGTAACGGTCCTGCCAGAGGAAATCGGACGGCTGAGGGCGCTCGAGGAGGTCAGGATCTTTGGAATGGGCGCTCTGATGTTTCTCCCTTCGTCGCTTCTTGAGCTGCCCTGTCTTCGATCGCTGAAAGTGCGGGCGTGCGGTGCGCTAAGGGCGGTTCTAGGGGATGAGGAGGTGTACATACGTACTGCCAGAGGCTTTAGGATCACCACCGGCAGCACGAGCAGCAGCCGCGCATTGCTTCCTTCCCTTGAGAGCCTTAAGATAAAGGAGCTCAGTGTTGAGTCCTTTGGTCCATCCCTTGGTCGTCTGTCCGCATTGACGCAGCTGAAGGTCTCGAAGATGAATGAGCTAGGCACTCTTCCTGACTCCATCTCTCAACTCTCGCAGCTGCAAAGGCTCAAAGTTGGCTCGATCAGATGTTTGAAAACACTGCCCGAGGCCCTTGGTGGGCTCGCAGGGCTCCGTGTCTTGCAGCTGGTTCAACTCAATGCAATGCAGCAGCTGCCCAAGTCTATCGGGCAGCTGAAGATGCTCGAGACGCTGGAGATTAGCGACTGCTTCAAGATGACGCAGCTTCCAGAGTCATTTGTGAATCTATCCAAGCTGCAATCTTGCTCTCTTGTCAAGGTTGGAATCTCTGTAATTCCAGCTGACATTTGCAAGCTTTCTTCCCTTGAGAAGTTGCAGATCGTGGGACTGACGCAGTTGCAGAGCTTGCCAAATTCCATCACTCGGCTGCCTAAGCTTGCAGAGCTGGAGGTGCGCGCGTGCAAGAATCTGGCCCGACTGCCGCCGTCTCTCCATAGAAAGCCGACGTTGCGTGAGTACAGCATCTGTGAATGCCCTTTGTTGCCACAGCCAGCCACGAGAAGGGTACCTGTGAGGAGAGAGAGGGGGGAGGGAGAAGAGGGGGAGGGAGAGGAGGGGGAGGGAGGAGAGGGGGAGGGAGAAGAGGGGGAGGGAGAGGAGGGGAAGCGAGAGGAGGGGAAGCGAGAGGAGGGGGAGGGAGAGGAGGGGGAGGGAGAGGATGGGGAGGGAGAGGAGGGGGAGCGAGAGGAGGGGAAGCGAGAGGAGGGGGAGGGAGAGGAGGGGGAGGGAGAGGAGGGGAAGCGAGAGGAGGGGGAGGGAGAGGAGGGGGAACAAGAGGAGGGGGAGGGAGAGGAGGAGGAGGGAGAGGAGGGGGAGGGAGGGGATTCGGAAGAGGAAGATTGGGAGGAGGAAGGCGATATGGAGGAGGAATGGGAAGAGTGGGGCGGAGAGGCATGGGGGTGGGGGAAAGATGATAGTGGTGGTGATGATGATGATGAGATGGGCAGTGACTATGATGACGGAGGCTGGGGGGATACTAAAGTAGTGATGAAGCGTAGGGTGCATAGGTGGTGAATCTGGTGCCGCGTGCTGGAAGTTGGGAACTGGAAAAGCATGTGCTTTGAATAGGATGTCCTGTTATTGTCTATGGGGAGGGAGGTGATGCAATGCGTGAAGTAGACAGGCAGCGCTCCTTGGCAGATATGTTCACTGCACTCTTGTCTTTGTGGGCAGGGTCGTCGCTAGCAGACATTTTTTGTCTTTTTGGCTGATTATCAGACATGCTTTAGTTGTGTTTTTAACACACCCTGAACGAAAAATGCCCAGGTGTTGGGGGAGTGGTGGCAACGCGCCCACAAACGGGTACGCTGCCATCACGTTGTTGATGGGTAGTGCAATCTCGCACACAGAGTCGAGGCAAATGAGTCGAGTCGGTGAACCTAGCATCACCGTTTCGTGCAGACATTTGGCGGGAATGATTCGGCAGAAAGCGATCGGTTAAGTGCGGTGCCAGTGACAAACTCGAGGGTTTTCTGTTGAGAAGGTTGTGTCTAATCAAAGCACTGACACTTTTGACTGGCCTTGCTACTTGACAAGTTATACTCAATTAGTAGCTAGCTTATCGGGGTGAGCAGCCATTGATCGCTTCAGTTCTCCTTTCGCAATGTCAATCGGGTCGCCGATCCAGCGGCTACCTGAGGAGATTCTTTATCGTATCTTTTATTTTCTGGTTCGATCTGATGGGCAGTTGGAGCACGCACTTGTCTCCAAGCAATGGCATCGCGTCGCGTACCGCACGCAGTACCAGCTCCACTTGCGCACTAACTTCCAAATGGAGCCGCGCCGCTTCGTTCAACTCCTGTCTTCGTTCCCGAACCTCGAAACGATCTACCTCAAATCTGGCAGCCTCACCTCCACCCCTCATTTCTTTTTCTCTCACCTCGCCAGCACGTGTCGCCGTTTGACCGAGCTTCGTGTCGACGTGATGTCACATAGTTCCAGTCGCGGAGGTGTGACAGAGGAGAGCCTCGCCGTGCTGTTTGAAGGGTGTACGCGGCTTGAAGATCTCGATCTGTATTGCTCGGCGCCTGCCATTCCCACGTCGATCGACCGCCTTACTTTGCTCAAGCACCTGAACCTCGTAACAGGCGTCGCGCGTCTTCCCGACACACTGACCTCGTTGCAGTCTCTAAGAACCCTCGTGCTGAACGCTTACAAGCTTGAGGCTTTACCCGAAGATTTCGGCAAACTGGTTTCTTTAACGTCGCTAGGGCTTCACCACAGCCGCTTGGCGTCACTTCCGGAGTCTTTCGGGCAGCTTACCGCTCTGAAAAGTTTTTCCTTGATTGGCTCGTCGTTGCAGCTGCCGGCCTCTTTCACGGAGCTTTCTTCTCTTACCGCCCTGGACTTCCAAAATTGCGGAATTCTTCCACAGTCGCAGGTCGATTTCGGTCAACTGGGGGCACTCGAAACCCTCGTCCTGCTTGGAGTGAGCGGAATGCGCGACTTGCTTGCGGATGTGGGGCATTTGCAGCGATTGAAGACTAACCATCAAGCTCTGCAGTGATTTCACGTCTCTGCCCGTGTCTCTTCCCCGCCTGCCTGCGCTCACCGAACTCAGCCTTAACATGGAAGATCTTTCAGCTCTGCCCGAAGATTTCGGGCAGTTGTCAGTGCTTCGGACACTCGTGCTGAATATGAGGAGCCTCACAGCCTTACCCGATTCGATCGCCCTGATTACTACGCTTCAAGATCTTTCCCTTCTTTATACTCGGAATCTGGCATATCTGCCCCAGGAGTTCGGGCAGCTGGTTTCTCTGGAGAATCTTTTCATGAAAGACCTTCAACAGCTCACACATCTGCCTGAGTCATTCGGGCAGTTGAAAGCTCTCCGGGATCTGAGATTTCTGGAGTGCAGGCAGCTGGAGCAGCTCCCGGACTCCTTCTCCCAACTGTCTTCTCTCGAGCACCTGGAGTTTAACATCTGCCCTCTCCTCACGGAGCTGCCAGTCGACATGGGAAATGGCATGCGCTCATTGCGCCATCTGTTTCTAATGGACTGCACGGCACTCACCCGCCTCCCTCCATCCTCCTCCGGCCTGACGTCTCTCGAAACCCTTAAGATTCTAAACGCGAAAAGCTTTAGGGGGCCGCTGCTAGACGGCTTTGGCAGCTTGAAGAGCCTCAAGGAGCTGTCACTCGTAACCATACCTCACCTACCCGCCCTTCCTGCTTCCTTCTCAGGCGTTGAATCCCTCACCCGCCTGGAAGTCGGCAAATGCCCTAATGTGACGTACCTGCCAGAGGAAATCGGACGGCTGAGGGCGCTCGAGGAGGTCAAGATCTTTGGAATGGACGCCCTGATGTTTCTCCCTCCGCCGCTTCTTGAGCTGCCCCATCTGCGGGCGTTGGACGTGCGGGCGTGCGGTGCGCTCCATGCAGTGCTAGGGGATGAGAAGGTGCACATCCGTACTGCCAGCGGCTTTATGACCAGCACCGGCAGCAGGAGCAGCAGCCGCACATTGCTTCCTTCCCTTGAGAGCCTCAAGATAAAGGAGCTCAGTGTTGAGACCTTTGGTCCATCCCTTGGTCGTCTGTCCGCTTTGACGCAGCTGAAACTCATGGAGATGGACAGACTCGATTCCCTCCCTGACTCCATCTCTCGCCTCTCGCAGCTGCAAAGGCTCAAGGTTCATTCGGCCAGATATTTGAAAGCACTGCCCGAGACCCTTGGGGGGCTCGCAGGGCTGCGTGTGTTGCAGCTGGTTTACCTCTACTCGTTGAGGCAGCTGCCCGAGTCTCTCGGGCAGCTGAAGACGCTCGAGACGCTGGAAATTATTAATTGCTTCAAGCTTATGCAGCTTCCAGAGTCATTCGTGAATCTACCCAAGCTACAGTCCTGCTCTTTTGTCAGGGTTGGGATTTTAACCATTCCGAATGACATCTGGAAGCTTTCTTCCCTCAAGAAGTTGCTGATCTTGGGATTGAAGCGGCTGCAAAGCTTGCCAGATTCGTTCACTCGGCTGCCTAAGCTTGAGGACCTGGAGGTGTGCGAATGCAAGAAGCTGGCTCGACTGCCGCCGTCCCTCCAGAGAATGCCGACGTTGCGTGAATGCAGCATCCGTGAATGCCCTTTGCTGCCACAGCGAGCCACGAGAGGGGTACCTGCGAGGAGAGAGGAGGGAGAGGAGGCGGAGGGAGAGGAGGGAGAGGAGGGCGAGGGAGGGGATTCTGAAGAGGAAGAGGGGGATGAGGGAGGCGATGTGGCGGTGGAAAGGGAAGAGGCGGACGGGGAGCGAATGGAGGAAGAGGAGAGTGGTAGTGATGACGAGGATACTGGGCATGAACTTGGCTTGGACAGAGACTTTGATGACTACAGTGAAGGCTGGGGGGACAGTAGTGATGATGATTTTTAGGAAGTTGGTGCGGCGTGCTTGAAGTTGGGGATTGTGTAAGCATGTCTTACCATAGGCTGCCATGTTATTGTCTATCGGGAGGTGATGCAATGTGTGAAGTAGGTAGGTAGTGTTCCTTAGAAGATTGCACTCTGGTCTATGTAACACATTTTAATGTGTTATTTTAATATACGCCAATGGCAGTTCTGACTTGCGATGGGGGGAGATGTACCGCATTGTTCCCACATTCCATTTTTTTACGAAAAGCATACCAGTACCAAATGAGACCCACTATCCAAACAAGGAAATTGCACAAATGCTTCGCATTCTTCATTACACTACCATGCTGTGTTGTTGTGGGTGAGTGATTAGTCGGTACCTTGCCCACACAATGCAGGCGCGTGCTCTCACTATTGCTGGTGCAGGTACGGTACTTCATCTCATCGTCAACACTGCTTTCTAGGGTGGTTGTTGGTCGGTATGTTCTGTCAGGATTGTACTGCTGTTGTTAATAAATAGAGCAAAGAACGCTGTTGTACTACCGGTACCGTATGTTGTGTTTCATGTTAGAACGCTGCTCTCCGGATCCGCAAGGTTCTTGATAAAACGTTGACGGCGTTGGAAGTCATTGTTAGACATTTGTAAGAAGCCAGTGGTGGCTACGAAGGTGGAGGAGAGGCAGTGATGGCAACCTGTTATAGGCCACAACATGCACAATAGCACACAGCCAGGACAGGGAGCAAGGGGAGAGTGAGGATTGAGACGAGGGGGAGCCAAGGGGGAGAGGAGATGAGGGGTGAGGGTGAGGGGGTGCTTGCACGTGTGTGTGCGTGTGTGTATGTGTGTGTGTGTGTGTGTGTGTGTGTGAGAGAGAGAGAGAGAGAGAGAGAGAGAGAGAGAGAGAGGGAGTTGTATGGAGAGAGAGGGAGTTGTATGGAGAGAGAGGGGGGGAAAGGGAGGAAGAGACATGAGGGTAGCAATCGCTCAATACTATCTTGTCAATGTTCGCCTCACTCCGCCTCACTCCTCACTCCTCAGACCTTCTCACCCCGTCTCAATCCTTCTCACTGCTTTCTCATTCTTTCCCACTCCTTCCTCATTCCTTCCTAATTCTTCTCATTCCTTCCTCTCCTCACTCCTCTCACTCCGCCCTCACTCCTTCCCACTCCTTCGTCACTGCTAATCACTCTATCCTCACTCCTCACCCGATCGCACCCCTCCTCCGTCCGTCGCACCCATTCTCACTCTGTCACACCCGTCTCGATCCGTTGCACCCCGTCTCATCCCGCCTCAACCCTAGCTCCGCCAACCCTTCCCGTGTTTGCAACTTTGCCCCACCGCTGATCCACGAGTTGGTCAGTGAAAACTCGCATGTGCTGCTCCCCATGCTTGCCTCTTGCACGCACTCAGTGGCCCTCCCCGGCATTTCCTCGTGCCACGCGCGGCTCACCCGGTGGTTGTTGCTGGAGCAGTGGGAGAAGGAGCCCGAGAGGAAGTACATGGTGGACGCGGTCAGCGGCGCGCTGCTGCACCCCTGCGCCATGCCGTCCGTCGCATTGCAGTACGCGATATAGTTCTCGTAGTTGCACGCTGTATAGTCCGTCAGCGTCGGCACTATGTACACCTCGTCCATGTACGCGTCGTACTTGAACACTGCCGCGCCGCGCATTGCCGTGCCGCGCGCGTGCGGGGTTGTAAGGGGTGGAGGGGCGGGGGAAGGTGTTCAGAAAGGGATATGAGGGTGGACCGGGAGGGTGCGGAAGTGAAGAAGCGCGAGGAGGTTCGGTCTACGGGACACGCGTATTGCCGATAAGCCGTGTAATTTGAGAGCATGAGCACAGGCGACGCGCTACACCTCTGTTATCTCACGCCGGCCGCAGCACAGCGGTGGCGGTGGGCGGCAACGCACCGAGCACGTCGCCGACGTAGACCTTGTTGTCGCGCGCCCACGCGCCGTAGTCCACGGCGGGGTTCCACGGCCACTTGAACGCCGCCGTCGGCCTGCCCACCACCACGCGCCGCGGCACGTACGGCCGCGGCTTCACGCGAACGGTCACCTGCGTGACGACGGACGCGTCGACGTGGGGGCGTGAGGGCGGGGAGGAGGGATTCCGAGGTTTAAGGTCGTTGTTGATATGAAAAGTGGAAAACCGCGGAGGGGGGAAAACAAGCGTTCAACTCAATGGTTCCAGACCCCATCCCAATGGGAGGGAAAGCGTGCGATTTATCAAGGGCATCTGCGTACATGCGATCACACACTCAAACACACACGCGCGCGCGCGCGAGCGCATCTGCGGGCCCTCAGGCACCTTATGCATGCGCTGGCAGCGGCCCAGCATGCCCGACGCGAAGAACATGGTGCCTAGCTCCGCCCCCACGCGGCATCCGCGCACGCCCTCGCCATCGCGGCACAGGCGGTTCGCGCCGGCGTAGTTGCACGCTTCGTAGTCCGCCTGCGTGGCGAAGCGGTAGATCTCGTCGGAGCCGAACGGGTACTTGAACACTGCGCCGCGGCGGGGGCAAGATAAAAGGGGGGGGGGGGGGGGGGGGGGGGGAGGGAAGAGGGAGCGCACGGTGGGAGGGCGCGCAGGGAGGGAACGGAATGGAGATTTAATTATGAGTGGGAAAACAGGGGAAGGGGTCGTAGCGACGGGGGAAGGAGTCTGAGGCTTGGTGGCGAAGCAATACATCTTTATCAGAGCCAAACCATATACATCTCTCACACTGGGAGGGGGCGGGGAGTAGGGGGAGTTGTGTGTGCAGGCATGAGAGTGGAAGCGCAGGGGAGCGATAGGGACACGATGGCGGTGAACGAGGGACACGACGATGGACGGGGAGGCATCTGACGTGAGGTGGGATGAATTACTGGAGAAAAGAAGTGTGAGGCACTCGACAGACTAGAGGACGGAAATAGAATGAAGACCGGGACTGTGAAGGCGAAGAGGAACGAGTCATAGCGGCTGAGCTACGGCTGGCAGCCTAGGCCGTATCGTGCCGCCCTCCCCTGTGTCTCTCGAACAGTGCTGGTGTTTGGGGAAGAGGGCGTTGTGCGAGGTCAGGCAGCGAGGCTGACTCACACGGATTGCTCTACTGAGACAAAAGGGTGGCGCTTCTGGTGACGCTTGAGGGGTCCAACAACTAGATGCCTATGAGGCTTGTGACGTTGTTCCATGCCACATGAGGACTATGCAGCCATGGTGAAGCAGGGGTCGCAGGCATATCGCGCGTGCGCTACTCACCGAGGCTGTCTCCGGGGTACACGGATTGCAGCGCGCTCCACGCCGCGTAGTTCACGCCGGGGTTGAACGTGTACGCGAAGTTGCCGTTCGCCTTGCCGACCAGCACCGCTTTCGATGCATTTCCACCGCTCCCCGCTCCGTTTCCGCCGCCTCCGGTGGCGCCACCGACCTGCTGAATCGAAACGACGTCGGGAATCGAGTGGCGGCCTAGCTTTCCGCTGAGGTGACTCCTAACGGCCCTGTGGCGCAGGTTGGCCTCGTGAATGGCGGCTATGTCAGTGAGAGAAATCTCGTAGTCCTCTGCGGTGGCTAGCGCGGCGAGCGAGAGCAAGGCGAGTAAGCCGACGTTAGCCAGCAGTACGCGGCGCGTGGTGCGAAGGCGGGGATGGCAGGCCGAGAGAGGGGGCCGCATGGCAAAAAATAGGGAGTCGAATAAGCAAGTGCTACAATGCAGTGATTGCGATATTGCTCGTAAGCCCCCACGAGGAGTGATACTTGCGTGCTCGAAACCTGTAGACACAGTGAAGAGCAGGAGCGTGCTTTTGCGACATCTGCAAAATCATCTTCACACTAAACCAAACCTCTTGTTTCTCGCTCTCTTGCAGGGTGAGTGAGAGCAGCACTTGGCAAACCAAACCTAGTCAAATTCAAACCAGGCCGCGTGTCGCCACAGCGTCGTCGTGATGCCTGCCGAGACGCGCGTTTCAATCCGAATCGTAGTAGTAGATTCCCGCCACACCGACAATGCTTGCTGTTGGCGTGTGAGAGTGTTGTGGACTTAGCTTTACTGTAACGGGATTGTTTCTCTTATGGCAGGGATAAGGAATTGTAAGAAACAAGACTCTGACGTTTACGTCGGATGGGTTGCGTAGAGTTGTGTTCGTCGTATAATAAACATTATGATTGAATTTTTGGGTTGCTTGCGTAGCAACCCTATATATTTGGTTTGACATTTTGGGGATATCATTTGAAGAGTATTTTTTACGCACTTTTTGGAGCACCCGTTTGAATGTTTGGAACTGTATTCAAACGGATGCCACAAATAGTGAATAAAAGCACTCTCAAATGAGATCCCCATATGTGAAACCAAATACCGTACGTATCATGTTGAAACCATGAATTTGCTCGACCGTCCCAGCATCGTCGATAAATACGGTACGGCGGATGGTACAGCCGAGCATAATATTCTGGTATCAACATGCACGAATGCAGTTGTACAAATGAACAACAAAGTATGAGGTGGAGTTGTTGCTTCAAAATGAATGTTAAGATGCACCATATAGCAATAGAGGTTGATGGGGTCGTTGAAACAGCGAAAACACGCTGCCCCAAAGACGATTAACAACCTCTAATTACATACATGACACATAGTAACACCACACTTTGAAACGCACATCCGACAAACACAAATGCAAACGCTCGTAAAAGGGTACAACGCCACGTAACGGTTGTGAATGAATTGAAGTGGATGCTCAATATACACCAATGCTGCAACTGAGATTGATGGAGTCGTTGAAACAGCGAAAACACGCTGCCCCAACGACGATGACAACCTCAGATCACAAACACGATGCATATAAGCACAACAACCCCCTGTGAAACAACCAGCTGACATGAATAATAGGATTGAGAGCAGACAAGCATAACAAAGAGTTGCAATCACTTCATTATGTATCAATCACTGCTAGCTTGTCCCCCCGTCCTCCCCCTTTCCGCCTTCTCTCCTCTCCCTCTACCATCAAAATCTCCTCCCACCCTTTTCCACATTGTCTTCTCTCTCGCATTCCCCTCCCTGCTCCCCACAACGTGTCTTGCACACCTTGCAAAACAAACAGGTCAAGTGTAAAATGTGTTGTTGTCGGAGAACGCAGTGAATTATTCAATGACGAGCACATACTTGATTGTGAAATGGAACTTGATAAGCATGTATGTGTTGAAATCTGATAAGTACAAAATGAAAGTACCGATGAACATTGATACAAAACAGAAATGAAACGCAATTCTTGCAACGAAAGAAACCGAATTTGGCGACTCACAAGCGTGGTTTGAGACATAGATCCCCTGAGGTCAAGCACACTACGCTGGTGTGCAGCAAGGCTCCAGTGAGCAACGAGCTGGGCATCGCCATGCTACAAGGCGCCAGAGAGTTGCAGCAAGGCACCGGCAGGCTAAGAAGAGAAAGCGGGCTGCCGTAGCAAGGCGTGAGCACACGGCAGCAACGCATGAGCTCACTGCAGCAACGCGTGAGCTCACTGCAGCAACGCGTGAGCTCACTGCAGCAACGCGCGAGCTCACTGCAGCAACGCGCGAGCTCACTGCAGCAACGCGCGAGCTCACTGCAGCAAGGCGCGAGCTCACTGCAGCAACGCGCGAGCTCAATGCAGCAACGCGCGAGCTCACTGCAGCAACGCGTGAGCTCACTGCAGCAACGCGCGAGCTCACTGCAGCAACGCGCGAGCTCACTGCAGCAACGCGCGAGCTCACTGCAGCAAGGCGCGAGCTCACTGCAGCAACGCGCGAGCTCACTGCAGCAACGCGCGAGCTCACTGCAGCAACTCGCGAGCTCACTGCAGCAACGCGTGAGCTCACTGCAGCAACGCGCGAGCTCACTGCAGCAACGCGCGAGCTCACTGCAGCAACGCGCGAGCTCACTGCAGCAAGGCGCGAGCTCACTGCAGCAACGCGCGAGCTCACTGCAGCAACGCGGGAGCTCACTGCAGCAACGCGCGAGCTCACTGCAGCAACGCGCGAGCTCACTGCAGCAACGCGCGAGCTCACTGCAGCAACGCGCGAGCTCACTGCAGCAAGGCGTGAGCTCACCGCAGCAACGCGTGAGCTCACCGCAGCAAGGCGTGAGCTCACTGCAGCAACGCGTGAGCTCACTGCAGCAATGCGTGAGCTCACCGCAGCAAGGCGTGAGCTCACTGCAGCAACGCGTGAGCTCACTGCAGCAACGCGTGAGCTCACTGCAGCAAGGCGTGAGCTCACTGCAGCAAGGCGTGAGCGCAAAAATTTGCCAGTGCGCTGCCGCAACAAGGCAGCAGCGCACAAGCCGCCAGTGGGCTGCAAGGCGCAAGCGCGTTAGGCGCCAGCGAGTTAGGCGCCAGCGCGTTAAGGCGCCAGCGCGTTAAGGCGCCAGCGCGTTAAGGCGCCAGCGTTTAAGGCGCCAAGGCGCCAGCGTTTAAGGCGCCAAGGCGCCAGCATTTAAGGCGCCAAGGCGCCAGCGGTTAAGGCGCCAAGGCGCCAGCGATTAGGGCGCCAAGGCGCCAGCATTCAAGGCGCCAAGGCGCCAGCGATCAAGGCGCCAAGGCGCCAGCGATCAAGGCGCCAAGGCGCCAGCATTCAAGGCGCCAAGGCGCCAGCGTTTAAGGCGCCAAGGCGCCAGCGTTTAAGGCGCCAAGGCGCCAGCGGTTAAGGCGCCAAGGCGCCAGCGATGAAGGCGCCAAGGCGCCAGCGATTAAGGCGCCAAGGCGTCAGCATTCAAGGCGCCAAGGCGCCAAGGCGCCAGCGTTCAAGGCGCCAAGGCGCCAGCGTTTAAGGCGCCAAGGCGCCAGCGCTCATGGCGCCAAGGCGCCAGCGTTTAAGGCGCCAAGGCGCCAACGCTCATGGCGCCAAGGCGCCAGCGATTAAGGCGCCAAGGCGCCAGCGATTAAGGGGCCAAGACGCCAGCATTCAAGGCGCCAAGGCGCCAGCGTTCAAGGCGCCAAGGCGCCAGCGTTTAAGGCGCCAAGGCGCCAGCATTCAAGGCGCCAAGGCGCCAGCGTTTAAGGCGCCAAGGCGCCAACGTTTAAGGCGCCAAGGGTTGACGATGACCACCTAGCACCTAACGCGCCTATCACTCTTGTACTCACGAAACATGCCGTTTGTCACGGGCGATTGTCAAGGGCGTTTTCCACGAGCGGTTTCATGGTCATGGGCGCTTGTCACAGAATAAGGAGCTGCTGTTCGTACTAGCGTGAGGTCTTAGCGTGAGGTACTAGTACGGGGTACTCCGGGAGGTACTAGCGGTAGCATGAGGAGCGTTAGCATGAGGTACTAGCGTGATGGTACTAGCGTCAGTGGAAAGACCTGGTTTCTTGTTCTTGGGTTGGGTTGGGTTATCGAGGTGGTTTCACATGTGTGCTATGAGCACGTGAAATTCAGCTGACTCAGCTGATGCACTACATTTCATGTGCAGTTTGCGTCAGCTCCAGAAAACGAGCGAAAAACGAAACGCACGTTCCCCATAATAGCAGAGTCGTAAATCACTGATCTACACCATAAGTCACCACATAGTATGCTTCATATGATTGAGCATTATGTGTGAGATAGAGAAGAAAATGCAATAATCTTAATACAAAACGACTGTAGAGGGTGGGATAAGGATACGGATATACCTAAGAGGATGGAAAAACAAACTAACAAAAAAACATTATTATATATATATTGGTGCTGCATTTATCTTTAGTAAGGATTCAGCTTCTACGCAACCCTTACGACGTTCATCGTCGAGCCTTGTTACTTATTATGTTCGTCTTATATATTTAGAATGAGACAGGCTTGCTAGTTTATTGCAAAGGAAAGATATTAATTATGTACAAGTTTGTACTTTTGAAATTGTTTTGAGTATAAACAGGGAATGATTTGGAGAATTAGGTTCTTTTTGGGGAAAGTATTGTCAGGGTAAATTCCTAGCTCGTGTTTGACATCAGGTCATAGGCCCTTAGTCTCTGATTTGTCTCCTCCGATTGTTGATTCGCCCCTATTCCGAGCCACTTCGGGTCTTCCGACCCTCTACTTCGTGTTTGACCTGATGTCAGACACGAGGTAGGAATGTACCCTCAAAACATATTTGTATGTTCTTAGTTCTGCTAGGCTAGAGTGAGGTGCTCAGTATAGGGTACAACCCCAGTTAGGGTTTCATACTTGTATCTCCCTGTTGCTAGTCAGTCATCATTCCTGTTTTTCCTATCTAAACATGGTATTAGAGCATGATCGTTCCTAGGGCCCACCGAACGTTCCGCCCTGCCCTGCCCGTAAAACTTTTCTGCCCTGCCCTGCAGCCCGCGCGCCGCGCTGCCCTGCCCTTAGGCCCGCGCGCAGCCCTGCCCTGCAGCCCGCACTCGCCCCTGCAGCCCGCGCTCGCCCCTGCAGCCGCGCTCGCCCCTGCAGCCCGCGCTCGCCCCTGCAGCCGCGCTCGCCCCTGCAGCCCGCGCTCGCACCTGCAGCCCGCGCTCGCCCCTGCAGCCGCGCTCGCCCCAGCAGCCCGCGCTCGCCCTTGCCGCCGCGCTCGCCCCTGCAGCCCGCCCTCGCCCCTGCCGCCGCGCTCGCCCCTGCAGCCCGCGCTCGCCCCTGCAGCCGCGCTCGCCCCTGCAGCCCGCGCTCGCCCCTGCCGCCCGTGCTCGCCCGCCCCTACAGCCGCGCTTGCCCCTGCAGCCCGCGCTCGCCCCTGCAGCCGCGCTCGCCCCTGCAGCCCGCGCTAGCCCCTGCTGCCGCGCTCGCCCCTGCAGCCCGCGCTCGCCCCTGCAGCCCGCGCTCGCCCCTGCAGCCGCACTCGCCTCTGCAGCCGCGCTCGCCCCTGCAGCCCACGCTCGCCCCTGCAGCCCGCGCTCGCCCCTGCAGCCGCGCTCGCCCCTGCAGCCCGCGCTCGCCCCTGCAGCCCGCGCTCGCCCCTGCAGCCGCGCTCGCCCCTGCAGCCCGCGCTCGCCCCTGCAGCCGCACTCGCCCCTGCAGCCCGCGCGCTGCCCAGCCCTGCAGCCCGCGCGCCTCTGCTGCCCTGCGCCCTGCGTGCGCCCTGCAGCCCGTGCTGTCCTACCGCCCGCGTGCCTGCGCTGCCCGTGCACTGCTGTTAGCTCGTGCCCTTCTACCCACGCACAGCCACTCCAACAGTCGCTACTGCTGTTGCGACCACCGCTACTGATCCAGCTGCAGCTACAGCAGTTGCTACTCACGACCTTGCATCGCTGCTACTGACTGCCACTGCCTGTCATGGCCACTATCACGGTCATAGCAGCGCCTAGGGGTGGACAGCAGCAACCACTGCCTCACCCGGACACTCTATCGCCGCAGCAGCTTCGCGAGTGGGTTATTCAACGAGGCCGTCCTGGTGGTGGAGGTTATGGTGCTGGAGGTGCTGGAGGTGCTGGACAGCAGCGGCAGTCTCGTCGCCAGGAGACTTTCTCGCCCCATCAGATTCGTGAGTAGGTTATTCAGCGAGGCCGTCCTGGTGGTGGAGGTTATGGTTTTATGGGTACTGCACAGCGGCGGCAGCAGCGTCGGCAGGAGACATTCTCCCCGCAGCGGCTTCGCGACTGTGTTTCTCAACGAGGCGTCCCTGGTTGTGTCGAGGCTGCTGCTTTAGGTGCTAGTGAGTCTGCTGCCGCTCAAGGTGCTAGTGATTCTGCTGCAGCTCTAGGTGCTAGTGGGTCTACCGCCACTGGTCCTGCCTCAGCTGAGGCCTTGCACACTTTCACACTTGACACAGGAGCGTCACGTTGCTTCTTTCGTGATTGCACCACAGTCACACCGCTCGCAGCACCTGTCCCAGTCTCACCGGCTGACCCCACTGGGGGCCCAGTAGTAGCGCGAGCCTCCACTGTCCTCCCGTGTCCGGCAGTCCCCTCCGGCTCTCTTTCAGGCCTCCATCTCCCCTCGTTCTCGACGAACTTGGTGAGCAATGCAGTCCTTCAGGATGTTTGGGTTGATACCTTTATCCCTGGAGGGCAGCGTGTGGCGATCTGTACGTGCTCCCGGACTGGACGTGACCTTGCTACGTTCACTCGGCAGCCTGGGTCCAGCCTGTACACCATGACCACTGCGTCTGCACAGGTGGCTGCGTCAAGTCAGGTGGCTGCGTCGAGTCAGGTGTCTGCGTCTGGTCTGTTCGCTGCGTCGTGCTGGGTCGGGTACTCTCCCACCAGAGTCTTCTCTGGCACCACCGACTCGGTCACCCCTCTCTGCCGCGTCTCCGCAGCATGCACTCCCGTCTCCTTGTCTCTTGCCTTCCCAGGTCCCTGCCCCCCCTCCCGCGCTCGCCTGCCCCGCCGTGCCTTCCCTGCGTCGAGGGGCGGCAGCGCGCCGCTCCTCACTCCTCCTCGTTTCCTCCGACCACTGCTCCTCTGCAGACTCTCCACATGGACGTGTGGGGCCCAGCCCCCGTCAGTGGGACGGACCAGGAGCGCTACTTCCTGCTGGTCGTTGACGACTACACGCGCTACACCACCATCTTCCCCTTGCGCAGCGAGGCGGACATCAGCGGTGTTTTGATCCCCTAGATCCGCGCTACTCGTCACCAGCTGCGCGAGCGGTTCCGGCGTGACCTTCCAGTCCTGCGTCTGCACTCTGACAGGGGCGGTGAGTTCTCTTCCGGCCTCCTTGCGGAGTTCTGTCGAGACGAGGGCATCCGCCAGACGTTCACACTTCCGGCCTCTCCGCAGCAAAATGGGATTGTTGAGCGTCGCATTGGCTTGATCATGGAGGTTGCTCGTACCACCATGATCCATGCGGCTGCTCCCCATTTTCTGTGGCCGTTTGCGGTCGGATACGCCGCGCATCAGCTCAACCTCTGGCCCCGTGTCTCTTTGCCAGAGACCTTGCCCACACTCCGTTGGACGGGAGAGGTTGGCGATGCGTCGGCGTTTCGGGTCTGGGGCGCGCTCTCCCTTGTTCGCGATACCACTGCGAGCAAGCTCTCTCCTCGCACTCTCCACTGCGCCTTCCTGGGCTTCCCCACCGACGCCCCGCCGTGGCAGTTTTACTACCCTCACTCGCGTCGCGTAATCTCCTCCCAGGACGTCACCTTTGACGAGTCGGGCTGTTTCTACAGGCTCCACCCGCACGCGTCCCACCCGGTCCCCCTGGCGCCTCTCTTCCTGGTACCAGTTCCCCCCCGGTAGACCCCCTCCCCCCACAGGGTCCTGCTCCCTCAGGTGTGTCTCAAGTAGACCCACCCCCCTTGGTTGAGCCTTTGGAGATATCTTCTGACTCCTCTGGCCCGGCTGAGGGGGGTGACCTTGCCGCTGATGACACGGCGGCCACTCGTCGCTCTCCACGCTTGGAGACCCCTCCTGGTTTTCCGCCTCGACCGTCTTCGCCGCCTCTGCAGCC